TTTTTTGAACATTAAAGCATGTCAACATATTCTGTTACACCAAATATACAAAATAATGAGCTTTAAAAAAAGCATCATATGACCCCTTTAAAAGAAAAAAAAACAATGCAAAGACAGTGGCATATAACAGCTGATCTTCAAAGACAACATTTCATCCTCAGGGTAACATAACATGGCATGCTCGTATTGCACCTGTTCAGGTGTTCACTGTCAGTCTTTTTTGTAGGTGTGAGATGGAGGAAGTCATCAAGCAGACGCCACAACAGATCAAACATTGCTGCTGTTGAGAAATATTTGCCAAATATCAGCATGCAGAGCTAAATTACGTGATCCAACATCTGCATGGACTCCATGATGGCCTCATCCTAAACAAAAATAGTTATTAAAAAAACAAAGAATATATTAAAGGAATAGTTGATTGAGGATGACAAAAATGAAAATGTGCTGAAAATCTCCTCATCCTCAGACCATCCAAGATGAGTTTGTTTCTTCATCAGATTTGGAGAAATGTATCATCGCATCACTTGCTCAGCAATGGATGCTCTGCAGTGAATGGGTGCCGTCAGAATGAGAGTCCAAACAGCTGATAGAAACATCCACAAGTAATCCACACCACTCCAGTCCAATCATTTAACGTCTTATGAAGCCAAAATCTGCGTTTATAACAAATTCATCAAAACATTTTTAAATTCAAACCTTTGCTTCTTGCTAAAATGTCTGTGTATTTTGATGTGAGAGACAAAAGGAGATGGACTTTTTCACTGGAGGAAGTGTTATTATGGTTTATGGACTTGTGTGTTTTGGCCAGAAGTTTCAAGTTAAAACATCTTAATGATGGTTTTGTTTCTTCCAAACATGCAGCTTTTGGCTTCACAAAATGTTAATTTTTGTGTGGATTACTTGTGGATTATTGTGATGTTTTTATCAGCTGTTTGGACTCTCATTCTGACGGCAACAATTCACTGCAGAGCATCCATTGCTGAGCAAGTGATGCAATGCTACATTTCTACAAACCTGATGAAGAAACAAACACATCTTGGATGGCCTGAGGGTGAGAACATCTTCAGCAAATTAAATTTTTTGGGTGAACTATCCCTTTAAATATCATTGCAGGTCTTGTACAGTAGGTATCAACCTAAGTAGTTTCTAATGCATCTTTATAATGAGTAATCACATTCACATTCTACAAAAAAAAGGCATTTACATTTTATACCAAAAGCATAAAAAATTATAGAAATAATTAGTTTTCATGTCGTCCTTGTACCTTTTGACACGACTCCAGGAACTCCTCCATTGTGACGACACCGTCATTGTTGCGATCCATTTTCTGAGTGCAAACAGATAAACGATCAATAAATGAATAATTTGAGACCTATTGTACTAGAAACATGGCAAGCATTAGACGTTTAAAAGAAAGAATAACAATAATAAATGCTAGCTTTCTTTTTATGTTTTTTTTTTTTGCCGCTCACCATGCATTTATTTGATCAAAAACACAGTAAAAACAGTAATATTGTGAAATATTTTTACAATTTAAAATAACAGTTTTCTATTGTAATAACTAATCAGTTTTAAACTGTAATTAATTCCTGTGATCAAAGCTGAATTTTCAGCATGATTACTCCAGTCTTCAATGCTGATCTGGAGTTTTTGAAGGTACCTGGAAGAAACTTTCGACATGTTCTCTAGGTGCGCTGTCCTTCATACACGGATATGTATACTTCCCCATCAAATCATAAATAGACTTCATAATATCATTCATCTCCTAAAACAGACAGAATAAATTAATGAATACAGTAATGGATTCACATAAATGGCCAGATTCTGTACCGGAATAAATGTTAAAATACACAGTTTAGTGTGAAACTAGTCTATATATCTTATAGACCTCTTTACCTCTTTAGTGATGCATCCATCTTTGTTGAGATCATACAAACTAAAGGCCCAACACAGTCTATCAGTGACGGTACCACGCAAGATGATTGACAGGCCAGCCACAAAATCCTGAAGCCAATGAGAAATACACCAGTAAGTGTAAAAGAAAGAACAATTTTAATATGCAACATTATGATAACAGCGAATCATCTACTGATTTGGCTATAAAATAGCATTTTTTGTGTGAAAATAATAATAAAAAAATTAATTGCTAATATACCATAAAATACATGCAAATTAATTTAAGATACTTTACAAATTTTACATAGTTATTATATATTACTATATGCTTTTGAATGAATTAAGTATATGGTATATGAATTACATTTATTCATATTAAGTATATGAACAGCAAACTGACCTCAAAATTAACTGCTCCGTTTTTGTGTTTGTCAAAAGCCTCAAACAGTAAATGAGCATATGCACTAGAATCTTCAAAAGAATTAAAAACACAAGATTGAAACATCAAACTCAATTTGGGAATCACAGAGGGATTTATCAAGGCCTCTTTAAATTCAATTAATTAATAGAGTTGGAACATAGAATTACAATAGAATTAATATGGTTGGAACAAATGAACTGATTTAATTAGGTTTATGCATGAATTCACTCACCTCCATGAGGAAAAAAGTGAGAGTAGATTAACTTAAAAGTCTCTTCATTTACTAATCCAGTGGGACATTCCTACAGCACATAAAAATAGTCATAAACAAAAATATGTGGAAAATATTTCAGTATTTAAAATATATTTAATAACAATAAAACGATTTGAGAAAATAATTGTAAAAAGGGACAGAGACCTTCGATATGTATCCAACACAGAAAGAAGAAAACTTCGTAAGCGTAAAGTAGCCATGTCACGGAAAACCCAACTCATGAGAAATCATGAGAAAACGTAAGTATTTTACGAAGTTGCAATTTCGTACAAATTCATACAACGTGGAAAATGCATTATTTGTACAATAAAAAGCTAAGTGTGAACCCATGGGCATGAGCTGGTCGTACAAAAATGTAACGTAAAATAGTTACGAAAAATAGTTATGTAAATGTAAAATAGTTACGTATTATCATGCGACTGTGTTGGGAAAAGCAAATGTTTGCAAAGAGTCTGTCAGCAAGCCCACAAACCACGAGTAATCTTTCTTAGTTCACATGTGGTGAAGCTAGCCAATCACAACAGAGGTGATTTAAATTTAGGAGTCTTAAAGGTACAGTAACCCTTTTTTGCTTGTTTGATTCTAAGTGTCGGAGAGAAGATACACATTTTTATATATATATATATATATAAATACATAAACTTATTGTAGAGTCCATTAATAGATCAAACCGGTAGGGAGCTTACAAAGATCATTAAGGGAAAAGTTTCTTACATTTTTGAAACTTCTATAGAGGATTTGTAGCTCTGTTTTGGTGAACTTGGTCTGTTCCAACATTTTTTCCAGACTATCCGGCCTGCAGCACACAGTGGCAAGCTCAAAATCCTCCTCTATACTGTCTACATGACAGATGAAAACATAAACAAATTACACATAAAACTAAAAGCAATACTGAATTCATTTTAGAGATATATGCAGCAAGAACATGCAGAAAGGAAAGCAACAGCGAGTCGGTCACTTGCTTTGCCTGACTGTTGGTGTGGAGTCCACATGACAGCAGGGCAGAAGTTTGAGGAAGCGCTGTTTCATGTTCTTTTTGCTCTGGCCTGAGGGAGGCTTACCTGCAAACACATTGGGAAACTGCTTAGATGTGCAGAAGTGCTTTGTAAATCATTTAAATTCTATTACAAGTACACAAAACCATTCGCAAAACGGCGGTCTGTCACAGTCAGTTGGCCCAGTTTGCTGCTCTGGCTTTGATTCAAAAATGAATCGGATGACTGAATTTGAAGAACTGAATTTCACCCAATCATAAAATAAAGGAATATGTGCACATACTTTTCTTTGACCCTTTTGAGTTCACTGGACATGACATTTCATTTCAGTATGAAAATGCATACAATTGGGACAAAATGCCAATTACATTAAAGGCGCGTTCACATTATAGCAACTTAGGCGAAATTTCGTGCATGGGCAAAGTGTGAAGTGTTGTATGAAGCAACGCTTACTCAGAGATGACAAATTCAAGTGTTAACATTTCAACAAACTTGAATGCAATGTTAAATCCGCTAGGGGAAATTCATCCCTCACACTAAATTTCCTCACAAGTGGGTTCCTATTGAAATGACTGCATTTCACCCGCAGAATTTAAAGCAATCCATAGGTAGAGTAAAAGCAATATCTCACAAACAAGAGTGTTGTTCTAATATTCAGGCCAACAGGTTGTGTGGGTGGAATTGCTTTAATACAACAATGTTAATAAGCAATAAAGTTCAATATTAATGTTATGTATCAAATATCTTATATTTTAGGCACAACACTGACAGTTGTTTTGTTTAATATTCGCCCCATCAACAAGCTCCAAACGAAAAGCAGAATTAATCGCCTGTTACAGTGGTCCTGAATGAGTCAGTGTTTTAGTGAATCGATTGACTGAATTGGTTGAATGTATCACTCATACCCAGATAGCACAAGTACGTCTGCCAGATGTCTGTTAAAGATCACTTCATCTGGAAAGCATCTTCTGTGTACAAACATCTCATAGACGTCTCTAAGATGTCAGTTTTACATACAATCTAAATCATAATCATCTTAAAGACATCTTCTAAACGTCTATTTGACATCTGACAGATGTCAACTTCTTCCAGATGTAAACACACACATCAAAAAGACGTCTCTGAGATGTACATGAGCTATCAGGGTAAAGACAGTGCTTATTTTGTTCCTGATCAGCGTTTTGAACGAATCGGTTGAATGAGTGATTCATGACTGATAAACACAGTCATTTGTCACCACCTACTGATGTAACCTGCAAAAATGTTCACGGAAAAATCCCCAAAAATAGTCTGGAAGGCGCAAACACAGATAATTAGGCCTATGAAAGTATTAAAGTGGCCAATAGAAACCAAACTCTACGTTTCAAAGCTAATGCGTCATGAATAAAACATCAAACTAAAAGTCAAAAACAAAATAACAGAAATTATATTCAGAACAGACCATAAATCAGTTTCATTGAGTGTGTTCGTTACTGTTGTTACTGAGCTTTATTTACATATCTGTCATCAACCAACTTCACGAGACTTCATTTTGGTGAATTATTTCAAACACCTGTTCCTCCAGAGCTTATTTATACTGGAATGGAAAAACAAACAAAACCAACACTACGTTAAACGCACAGCGCATGCGCACAGGTGCATACAGCCCTTAGAAAATACTGGTGCACATCTGCAGCAGCACAAACAGCCCCACATACAGTATACATCAACACATATGGAACGAATTGCCAAATTATTATTTATGAACTCTAGATTGTGGCAACAATATGCACACTATCCCAAAACCAACGCTACGTTAAACGCACACAGGGCATGCGCACAGGTGCACACAGCCCTTAGAAAATACTGGCGCACATCTGCAGCAGCACAAACATCACGAGCCCACATACAGTATATGAGCATAAACTTCAACACTTGGAATAAATTACCCAATTATTATTTACTCCAGATTGTGGAGACAATATGCACAGTATCCCAGTAAACTAGGCTTCATGTTAAAAACACTTTCCCATTTACCATCTATTGTGCATAAAAATGTCTAAAAGGCATCTTAATATGAAATATCTATGTATAAAATTTAATCTTAACACACTTAGAAAGCCATATGTTTTTCATACGTGTGGTTTCAGTTGTTCCTACACATTTTAGTATGAAAGTTGATCACGATTAATCTGTTCAAACGCACGTATGTTAGTGAATGAGACTCTAATTTCATTATTTTTGCTATTCCATTTGGTGACGCTAAGAGGCACCGAAATTACACTCTTCTGCTTTAACTACCAGCTTAGTTCAGGAGTGACTTTGGCCCATTCATCCATGCTGATCAGGTGTTTTTCAATAGTAATCGAATTTGAAATAGTCCCTCAGATTGTCAGTTGGATGAAAAGTTGGAAAGACATTTGGTTTTTTGTTCTTCAGTCTCTCATTCGAAGCTACTGAGAGTATTGATAGATATAAAGGAGCGCATGAAGGTCAAAACCAAGATGGACGCAACAACAAAATTGGCTAGCTGATCTGAATCCTCAAAAAGGGCAGAGAGGTGATTAAGATCCTGAAAAAATATAATGATAAACGATAGAAGAATTCAGAAATAGAACTTCGAATAGCTCAGCATTGACAACACTACAGAAAGCACTACATTTACTTTATCAGCTACTTACCTTGTTAACCAACTGGGAATGTCACATAACCAGGTGACTTATCTATCTATCTATCTATCTATCTATCTATCTATCTATCTATCTATCTATCAATCATGGACCACCATGGCATTTTTATAATGTCTTCATTAACATGCATTAACATGTTTTATACAAGCTGGATTAACCAAAGGCAACTGTACAGCTGTGACACTGACAAAGAGGAAGCCTGACTATAAAATGAAACTTTATCAATTATTTAAGCATATTACAAAGCCTTGTTATGACAAGATGTGAGATACAGTTAGCATGAAATGAGTGAAAGAGTCAAGTGATTTATTCATACCTATTTAGTTCATTTGTTGGGGAATAAGTATGTAGTTGGTTGACTGGTAAACTGGTAATACAACTAGTACCTTGGTTAACTAGTTAGTTTGATGGTTAATTATTGGTCTCAATGCAAAAATAACAAATCTAAATATGAATAGAATGTATGTGTATGTCTAGAATGTTAGTGATGCAGATTTCACAGAAAATTTGTAAAATGTATGTTAGCTAGATCACATGCTAATTTGTTTAGTTAGTAATTTAGCTGATTAGCAGTTTAGTTAATAAGGCAGACTTAAGTTAAAGGAACACTCCACTATTTTTGAAAATAGGCTCATTTTCCAACTCCCCTAGAGTTAAACAGTTGAGTTTTACCGTTTTCGAATCCATTCAGCCGATCTCCGGGTCTGGCGGTAGCACTTTTAGCTGTAGCTTAGCATAGATCATTGAATCTGATTAGACCGTTAGCATCTTGCTCAAAAATGACCAAAGAGTTTCTATATTTTTCCTATTTAAAACTTGACTCTTCTGTAGTTACATCGTGTACTAAGACCGACGGAAAATGAAAAGTTGTGATTTTCTAGGCCGATATGGCTAGGAACTATACTCTCATTCCGGCGTAATAATCAAGGAACTTTGCAGCCGTACCATGGGTGCAGCAGGCGCAATGATATTACACAGCGCCTGAAAATAGTCCCCAGCTAGGTAACTTCCAATAAGCCTATTTTCAGGCGCTGCGTAATATCATTGTGCCTGCTGCACAAGAGCCTTGTGACGAGAGGGGCGGGGCCGAGAGCAGTGGGAACGGAGCGAGGCCGGTGGAGTAAATGCTAATGCGCGACACCTGCGCCACTCACCGGTCTCGAGTCCCACGGAGGAGCTTCGGAAGGATAAAAGGAGGAGTGACAACAATGTTGGACGAGAGATGACCAGGCCTGGATATTATTTTGTGTTTTGGTTCTGTTTGTGCGCGACAGTCATCCGCGAGGGGCTGTCGCGCTGTTTTGTGTTTATTTTATTATTAAAGTTTTCTTTGAGTGTTCGCCGGTTCCCGCCTCCTTCTTCCCGAACTACAAACGTTACAGCGTTGCACAAATTCGAACATCTGGGTTGTGCTGTTCTGTTGTAAATAAATCTTAACCAATGATTCCTAATTGCATCTACTTCCGGAATGCCAAATAAAGTGCTTTTGCTTTCGCACTGAATCACACAGCGTCTCCCTGACATGCTGCCGGCTGCCTGGGCTGTGGAGGGACGGCTGCCGTCCGTGAGGGAGCGGAGGAGTCGCCGCCGTTCACCTGAGGCCGGAGCCTGCTGCCATCGCCATGATGGGGAGGAGCAGGGAACGGGGGACTCCTGCCGGCTGCCTGAACCCGGAGGAGCTGTCGCCGTCCACCGGGCGGTGGAGGAGTGTCGGGCCGTCCACCGAGGGATATCCAGTGCCGCCGCCAGGCATCGCGGAAGAGTTTACCCAGCTGGGGGAGGGCCGAGCGGCAATGTGTCTGGGAACCGTAACAAGATTTTTTTTTTTTCTCTCTCCCCTTTTTTTCTCTGTCTCTCCTCATCCTTCCGTCTCCTTTTCTCTCGCCTCGTCTGTCTGTCCTTACCCCCAGGTACGCCGCGGCTGGGACCAGGCCTGGATATTATTTTGTGTTTTGTGTGCAGCAGTCGTCCGCGAGGGGCTGCCGCTTTACTTTCGTTTTGTGTTTGTTTATTTTATTAAAGTCTTACATTTTCGCCGGTTCCCGCCTCCTTCTTCCCGATCTACAAACGTTGTTACAAGCCTATTTTCAAAAATAGTGGCGTGTTCCTTTAACAGCAAAACAAAACAATCAAAATATGAACCAGATGTAGCTGTGCTGGTATTTTTTTAAGGTCATAAATTTATATTAATATCCCGGATAGCACTCGTACATCATGGAGACGTCTATTAAACGTCTGCATTACATCTGCAAGACGTTTTTTTTTTTAGAGTGTTTGCTCATCTGCAATACATCTACAGGACGTTTCCTATTAGATGTCAAATAGACGATTAGAAAATATCTTTAAGATGTTTATGATTTAGAATGTAAGTAACACTGACATCTTAAAGATGTCTATCATGCTGTCACAGCGGTATTAGACATATTGCAAATATCCACTACAGTATCTCAATAAAAGTGGTCATAAAAACTGCAGACATAAGTAGGCTATATAAAATAATTAGCAAAATGCTTTTTTTAAATAGCTTGATGTAGAGTTTAACATGTCAACAGTAGCCTATATGCCATCTCTTTAAAAAAAATGAAACATAAGACGTGACAGTTTAACTCAATGACCATTAAAGCACACCAAGTTCAACCACTCTTAGTCCACAAAATAATTTTAAAAAATGTGGGAATAAACAATCGATGCCAAAGAGATTCAATTAATCAAAATCCTGTCAGGTGTTAGGCTACAGTAGGCTATATGCAGAAATAATGTAGTAAATAAACATCGACAAGTGTAGGCTACATTGTCTATTTCTAAAATAGCATAATTTGAGGAGCGATAGTTGCCGCTTGTAAATATGCAGACAGAATTGGTTACATGGGAAAATATGGCCGGTGAAAGTAATTTTGAAAAGTGAAAACCTAAACAACTAAAATGTCAGCCAGCAAGAGTTTAGCGAACATACAGTAGTCTGTAACCGGCCTCTACAGGCATGGGCATGCAACTTTATTTGAGAGCATACAAAAAATATCATACTTCTATAAATGTCGTGGTAATGATCGCGTCATTCGTGTGTCATTTAGTGCACTTACTAGTCAGCAGGTCATTGGATCCGTCACATTCTCCAGAAGTATTCAAGCTCTCGTCTCTGGATTGCACCTTCATTTTGCCTCCGCGCGAAATGCAGTCAGAGGACAATACCTTTAATCCCGTTAGAGTCAGAAATAATATTGAATTATCTGTCTGCCAGCAACTGTAAGTGCAAGGCTTTGGAGAGTTAATAATGTTGTTATATTTCCATTAGAAGTTCCCGTCGGTCGTCAGCCGAGTGCGGGTTTGAATTCGCTCCAGTATCCGGTTCATTCATGCAGAACATGTGTAGACTGACTGTAGCTACTATCAAAGTCTGTCCTTCTTTGTTATTATAAAAGAGTCTCCGCACCGCCTCACTGCCATCTGCTCTGCCCTGCTGCAAAATGAATGAACCTGCTCGGTGAATCAGGACTCAGCGCGTCTGGGCATCAGCATTGGCACGGTGCCATGACCAATTTTAGAAAACTTCAAATCAATTTATGTGGCAATCCAACATCAGCAGTAGCTATTTTAACACATTCCAAACCTTTTTTAGCTCTTTGCAAAAAGAATTTTGGCACTTTCCAAATCAGTTTTGTGTTTCAAATCTAAAACCTTTTTAAGTATTCCGATTCAAAAACTTTTCTTTGCATTCCAACAAATTCCAATTAAGTTTCGGCATTTTACAAATAATACGTTTGGTGCATTCCAAATCAAAAGAATTTTTGTGCATTCAGAATCAAAATAATGTTGAATTCTGAATAAAAATGACCCATTCCAATCAAAAGCATTTCTGCATTTTTCTGAATCAAAATAATTTTTTTCAATATTCCAAAATAGAATTATCTTTACATATTCCAAATCAAAGCCATTTTTTTACAAATTCCAAATCAAAAGCATTTTTACACATTCTGAATCAAAAGCAATTTTGTTTTTTTCCAAATAATAATTTTGTGCACATTCCAAATCAAAAACTTTTTTTTTTAAATTCCGAATCAAAAGCAAAAAAAGGCCTTTTTTTTTTTACACATTCTGAATTAAAAGCATTTTTACATATTCCAAATCAAAGGCTTTTCTAATAAACAAATTCTGAATCAAAAGCATTTTTACACATTCTGAATCAAAAGCAATTTTGTTTTTTTCCAAATAATAATTTTGTGCACATTCCAAATCAAAAACATTTTTTTTTAAATTCCGAATCAAAAGCAAAAAAAAGGCCTTTTTTTTTTTTACACATTCTGAATTAAAAGCATTTTTACATATTCCAAATCAAAGGCTTTTCTAATAAACAAATTCTGAATCAAAAGCATTTTTACACATTCTGAATCAAAAGCAATTTTGTTTTTTTCCAAATAATAATTTTGTGCACATTCCAAATCAAAAACTTTTTTTTGAAAATTCCAAATCAAAAGCAAAAAAAAGGCCTTTTTTTAACACATTCTGAATTAAAAGCATTTTTACATATTCTAAATCAAAGGCTTTTATAATAAACAAATTATGAATTAAAAGCATTTTTACACATTCCTAATCAAAAGCATATTTACATATTCCATAATCAAAGGCCTTTTTTTTTTACACATTCTGAATTAAAAGCATTTTTGTCCTTTTCCAAAAAAAAATAAAAATTGTGCAATTTCAAATCAAGATCTTTTTTTCTGCTCTTCAAATAAAAGCCTTTTTTTTTACACATTCTGAATCAGAAGCTTTTTTTTTTTTGCAGTTCAAAATCACAAACATTTTTAACATTTATTTTTAACATTCTTTTTTCTTTTTACTTATTTTTTTAAATTTCAAATTCCAAGAAGGGTCCAAATTTTGGGGTCCCGAAATCACTGTTTGAACATTCCAAATCCAGGTAGGCTGTTGCAAACTGATCTCACAGGAAAACTATTTTACAAGGTATATTTTTTACGATGTGAATCATACAAAAACGTATAATTTTCAAGATGAGCTTGAAGGTTCACCCCTAAACATAAACGCCACTAGAGCATAAGATCGTATTAAAACATATTAATAAGCCAATTTGCCACAATGTAAAACAGTATCGTGAGATGGTGTTGTTTGTTCAGTATGGGTTCAATTTTCAAGATGAGCTTGAAGGTTCACCCCTAAACATAAACGCCACTAGAGCATAAGATCGTATGAAAACATATTAATAAGCCAATTTGCCACAATGTAAAACAGTATCGTGAGATGGTGTTGTTTGTTCAGTATGGGTTTTGAGACATAGTCTATTATGATTCATGGATCAGCCTTCAGTAACTCATGCTTTCATACATGGGAACGCAATGTATTGCTTGCTGAATCTCCCAAATACCTTTTCTCTTCAAATGAGTCTTCCAAATGCCTAAATAATATGAATAAATCATTCATTTCCTGTGGTTGGAAATTTTGCACATATTTAATATTTTATAGACCAGAGCCACTAGTGCAAGGATGAAAGACTCATATTTAGTTTTTGTCTTGAACTATTTTTAAACCGCAATTCTCTTCTCTTCTACTGAAAGCCATATTAATGACATAATACTGTTAGGATGTATATATAACTGTTAGGATGACTGTATGAATCTGTACGCATCTTCTGCTATAATATTGGGTTTATATTTATCCGTCTAAAACATGAAACCAAAGGAAAGGACATGGGCTGACAGCACCCATTCTAGATCTGAGCATTTCAGATGCTCTAATAATAAAACATGAAGTCAATCCACAATGTGATCAAATTCAGATGAGAGTTATTTTAGATACTTTTCATGGCCATAATGTAAGATTGTGCTGAGGATGTTAAAAAGTCAAATCAAAGGTACGTATCAGACATGGATTTCATTCTTACTTGTAGCAGGTCGAAGAACGTTATGATGGATGTCTACAATTAAGTAATCTGGAATGTAACGATTACTATACAGGAACGTTAATCTCTAATAATGCATATAGTACACAAAATGGAACTTGCAACATAGTTATATTTATAAATGACTACTAAAAACTAGATCTACCTAATTAATTATTCAAATACAGCAGCCAATGGCAAGTCTCCAACGACAGACTATTTCAATATTTAAATTTTTGTGTTATTAGTTTTATTAAAATTACATTTGAGACATTTTTATTTCTATGTGGTATGTATAGTTTGTATTAATTACTCACTCTCAGGCCATCCAAGATGTAGGTGAAAAACACGTTGTAAATAGAAACATTTGAAGCTCTCTCTACCCTCGTAAAATAATAGGTTTTTGTGTAGTTAACTGGTCTCAATTAGTTTGAACTATCTTATGGTGTTCTGTTTTAATATAGGTCTGTTTCAGTTATAATGCGGGCTGAATGTCATTCTGTCTGTGCACTGGAAATGAGACCGCCACCTCATTATAGTCAGCGCAAATATCCCTCAAATATGTCTTTGACTCTCTACCCTCGTAAAATAATAAGTGTAGGCATTTGCGAATAGGTTTTTGTGTAGTTAACTGATCTCAATTAGTTTGAACTATCTTATGGTGTTCTGTTTTAATATAGGTCTGTTTCAGTTATAATGCGGGCTGAATGTCATTCTGTCTGTGCACTGGAAATGAGACCGCCACCTCATTATAGTCAGCGCAAATATCCCTCAAATATGTCTTTGATTAGGATGTGTTGGCCTAAGTTTGGCAAGTCTTTAAGTTTAATGTAGAGCTCATTATACAAAATGTGCCATCTAGTTGCAAAAATATTTGCTAAATGGTTCTAAGAAGTTAAATAGTTCAAGAAAGAATGAACTAAATGGAAGGCAGAGACTGAAAATAAAGAGACTGAAGAGTGTAAATGTGGTTAAGCAAGATATCGAAAAAGCTGTGATAAACGCAAAACGCTATAAGCCCAAAGGAAGGAGAAAAACAGCGTGGTTTTTATGCAGTTCAGAACTATTTATAAAGCACTTTTAACAATGGAGACGTCTCTATATAATCAGCTTTTCAGGAAATCCGTCCAAACACGAACTCCCAGAGAAACCGAACCAGACCTTCAGCCATCCATCTCTTCACAATGAAGTAAAAAGGGATGAGTTTGTGACTAATATTGGTTTGTCAGTATTTACGCTCATGATCTGTGTACATTTTAATTGATAGTCACGTTTCCCATTGTTCTGCAAATTTTCATGGGTAAAAACCAGTCATTTCTATGGAAACCAGCAAAAAAAAAAGTGTAATTTCGATTTTTTTTTTATCTCACAATTCTGAGGCCCCATCCACACGGAGACGTGTTTAGCTGTATATGCATAAATTTTGTATCGCATAGGCGTTTCGTCCACATGGATCCAGCGTTTTGGGAGAGTGAAACCGATATTTTTTTAAACCGGGTCCCAGAGTTGATAAATCTGAAAATAGATTAATAACTGTATTGTTCCATGTTCGTTTGTATACCGTGCGCAAGGTTTATACGCATAGTCCAAGTCTTCTTCTCCGTTTTTAGTGTATCTGTGGCAGAATTACAGCGCCACATGCTGGTCTAGCATGTATACTACATCGTTTTGTGTCGGTTTCGTGGTTTCGTGTGGACGCAGATATTTCTTGAGACGAGGGGGAAAAAAAGATCGGACAGGGAAAGCTCTGGCTTCGTGTGTACGTAGCCTTAAGCCTCGTACACACCGGGACGATTATCGCGCGCGCTTATCGCCGACGTTTTTCGACGCGTCTTTTGTGTTTATACCCAAGCGATTTTCGCAGGCGATGAGCCGAGTGAACGTGCAAATTCACTCCCTGACATTAGATGGCGCTTAATGAAAAACAGAAATACACATCGAATCCTATTTGATCTGCAATTCCTCTCCATAACAACTCCCTCTTATCGAGATTTTTGTAGTCGCTGTCGCGTTTGTCATAAAGCCCTTTGTGTTCAGACACCAATGAAACCAGCAGCTCTACATTCATCTTGCCTCGATGCTTCTTCTTGGTCTACTTACTTCCTTTTTGTCGTTAGGTATCAATGTGTGCTCGGCAAGACCGTTTTGTGCTTGAGTGCCACCAAGTCGTGTTTTACTGTAACTTCAGCAGCTACAGGCACGTGAACAAAAGCACCAATCTCATTGGTCGGCCAGTTTTTAACGCGGCGCATCAAACCAAAAAAACGAGCCCGAGGCGTTTTTTAAAAAATTACGCTTTTACGCCTCGCGTTTTGCGCATCGGTGTGCACACTCACATTGGCACCCTTTGTTTAGTCACGAGGCGTTAAACGTCGGCGATAATCGCGCGCGATATTCGTCCCGGTGGGAACAAGCCTTTAGTTTATATACCACAGTTCTGATTTTCTTTCTCAGAATTGCAAGATATAAACTAAGAAATGCGAGAAAAAAAGCACTTATTTTAAATCTCTCAATTCTGAATATGTAAACTCACAATGAAATAAGTTGCAATGACTTTGTTTGTTTGTTTTTTAATTCCGTGGCGAAAACTGGCTTCCATGCATCGGGAATTTCATGTGAAGGCATGGTCACATATACAGTTGTTCAGTGAATTTTTGCAGCCGAAATCCAGTGAGTTCAAAAGAAATTAGAACATTTTGTGTGAGAGTGAAAGCCCCAAACAGATTTCGCGAGGGGTTAGTTGGTCACATGGATTTGTGCATCAAAATGAATTAAAATTTCTTCATTGTATCATATATCCCGTTTCCTCATTTTAGTTAAACTGTGTTTAAGTAAATCATGGCTATGTTGTAGTAATTTGTTCCCTTGCTTTGATTTCATTAAACAAATTAATACAGTGTGGCCACAATTTACTAAAACGAGGAAACAAGGGAAAAAATTCTTAATTCGTGGCCACTATACAGTGTTGGGCGTAACGCATTACAAGTAACGTGAGTTATGTAATCAGATTAGCTTTTTTCAAGTAACTAGTGAAGTAACACTACTTTTTAATTTGCGAGAAAATATCCAAGTTACTTTTTCATATAAGTGACGCCAGTTACTTTGTTTTCCCGTGTATTGACTGACAGCTCTCCTGTCGCCATGTAGAGAGAAATCAGGAGTGAGTGCAGAGGCGTTGTGTGTAAACATGATGTTACTGTAGATCTAGACTAAATATGAACAATTTACTCATCTCACTTGCACAAAAACAGATTCAGTGTTCCTCAAAATGAATAAAAAGTGAGTCGCAAACTCAGAATATGATACAAACCTGCAATAATTGAATATGTTAAATAAGACAAATATCTTTTATGTATTTAATCCCATTTTATTAAGAAATGTCTTTGCTGACCTCCGATGATCCAATTCAACCATATTAATAAGCAAAAATTACTTAAGATAAACATGTCTCTTTTTTTTTTAATTGCTGAAGAGTGTTGAACTTTCTTCTCCTGCGTCCTATTCTTCATGCAATCCAGAATGGCAGCACAGCTGAAAGGTTTGTTTGAGCTGCGCCCTCTACTGTACAGACGTGGATTTACATTTGATCTATGCAATGAGGCAGAGTCATGCTGAAATAGAAAAGCCCTTCCCCAAACTGTTCCCACAAAGTTGGAAGCATAGCAAAATGTCTTGGTATGCCGAAGCATTAAGATGTCCCTTCACTGGTAGTAATGGGCCGAGCCCAAAAACAGCCTCATACCCTCCACCACCAAACTCTGCAGTTGGCCCAATGCAGTCAGGCATGTAACGATCCTCTGGTGCCTGCCAAACTCAGACTCGCCTAACAGACTGCCAAACACATAAGACAGATTCATTACTCCACAGAACAGGTTTCCACTGCTCCAGAGTCCACTGGTGGTGTGCTTTACTCCACTCCGTCTGACGCTTGGCATTGTACTTGGTGATGTGAGGCTTGCATGCAGCTGCTCGGCCATTGAAACCCATTCCATGGTTTTTGCACTGATATTAATGCCAAATAAGTTTGTAACTCTTCAGCTATGAAATCAGCAGAGCATCACCATGTGACTCAATGACTCCGCTTTCTGATTTTACATGGTCTTCTGCTTCGAGTTGCTGTTCCTAAACGCTTCCACTTTCCAATACTGCTTACAGTTGTATGGAGCTTATAATATGACAAAACGAATTGAATTTGTATTGTGTAAATTTGAATTACTGACAAGTGCCATTTAACAAAACTGAATATTATGTGGCATTTAACATAGTTCTGAATTAGTTTTTTTTTTTTTACTTGAATATTAAACATTTGAAATTTAACACAACTGAATGTTTTTATGGCAGAGTTTTTATAGACATGTATTTTCAAACAGCATTTTTTTGTTCTGAAATCTTAAGACAGCAAATATCCAGTTTTTAAAAATACAGCTTCAAGTTTTCAAGATGAAGAGGAAATTCGGAACATCGAATTCAATATTCTAAAATTCAATACGCAGAAATTCAGATCGTATAGAAAGTAGGTCAGAGGTAATCCACAGGGAAGAGTAGATGATCTCCGAAAAATCAAACGAAGCATTTTGGCCAATTAGTAGTTTTCTGGCATGAGCGTGTGGTTTAAGATCTACCTGATCATGAATCGCCCAGAGGTAGCCTAATTGATTCTTAAACATTTATGGTTTATATACTTATATGTTAAAGGGGTCATATGATGCGATTTCAATTTTTCCTTTCTCTTTGGAGTGTTACAAGCTCTTGGTGCATAAAGAAGATCTGTAAAGTTGCAAAGACTAAAGTCTCAAATCCAAAGAGATATTCTTTATAAAAGTTAAGAGTCAACCACGCCTACCTAAAACGGCTCATTCTAACACTCCCCCACATATCTACATCACTGTGTGGAAATATTAGCAAAAAATTATTCTTTATATACTTATATGTTGGGTTAGCATTCTCAGCATGTGAAACATTTGTCTAAGCCAGTGGTTCTCAACCTTTTTTATTACAGGGACCCCCTACTCTCCAAATCAATACATACTTTGCAAAAATGTCACTGCAGATATTCTTTACAACTTAAAAGTAGCTACTTAAAAGTATGTAAACCTTAATTATACAGCAACTTTAACAAATAAGCACGTCAACCTGCCATACCAAACAAGACCACAGGGAGACGCCAAAGGACTGCATACACGGATCCATGCAGAATAACTAAACACACCAAAATACAAATGAAAAATGAAACCATTCTGAATGTGTGGAAACTCAGCGATCGGAAGGCGGGTCGGTGTCATCATTGAATAGTTCCTCTGTCAGAATAAGTGAATTTGAAGCGTTTTATGCAAATATGTACATAACTGATCATCAGAAACTTCTCCAGAACTTCTTCAGCGAGCATCAGTTTTATGTTATAAAACACTTGCTGTACATTACTTTTGACAACTACATGAATATACAGAACTGTGTTCAAGCAGAAATA